GTATAAAGGGCAAAGATGGGTCCAGAAAAGGGCAGGCGGCACTCCTAGTCCTAGATTCAGCCGTCCCCGGTGACCGGCTGATCACTAACCTAGGTCGTGTCGTGTGCTTCCGTGATGCCATTTCAAAAAAGAATAAAGTAAAGAGAAAATTAAGAGTAAGAGAACCGACAGTTACCTGAACGAGTGACGATTGATGAAGTTCTGAAAATCCTTTGCAGTCGGCTTGTCAGAGCAGGCGGTAGGCAGAAAGAGTCCAAAATGTCAGAGCAAGTTCAGGGGTCCGAATGTTCTCTCACAAAGTTTTCAAGTGTGAAAATGACCGAAGTCAACACTCCTTTATATAGGCGAAGTGAGAAGGCGAAGGGTCACTTCTAGAATTCAAAATTTTGGCGGGAGAATCTCTCGGCCTCTCGCCGAGTGACACCTGTAGCAGGCCGTCGCCTGTTACAGGGCGATACCTGTCACAGGTAACACGTGACCAGTCACGTGCCACCTGTGAGGGGCAAATGATTAGGGGATTTTTCCCCACCAATCACCATCTGACAAGTGGACCAATCAGGTTCCGCCATGTGTCCGTCACATGGGCCAACAGGAGCCTGCCACGTGTCAAGCAATGATCCGTCCACCATGGACCAATTACGACACGACACGTGTCCTTCCCATGACACCTGGGATAACCGGTCACCTAGGCCCAACTTCCGAGGGAAGCCCAATCAGCCCAAGGTTAACCTAAACCTAGATTGACACGTTTCCCGAGGTTATAAATACCTCCCTTAATCCTCATTAAGGGAGATTACGCTGAACATGCTAAAAAGCAGATTACACACATTAAACACTCTCACCTAGAGAGACTCAATCACTTTAATTTCCGCATTAATTACTCCTTAATCAGGTACTAACTTGACCGTTGGAGGCGGAGCTCCCACCACCAGGAGTCTCCGTTGTTTTGCAGGTACAGGCGTCCGGTTCCAGTCTCGGAATTGTAACTCTCCCGCAGGACATCAGAAAACCCCGAAACAGGGTGCAATCTTTTCACCTTTTAAATAAATTAAAGTCTTATCGGGTGCAATTAGGTAAAATTATATGGTGATGAAAATCAAGTTTAATTAGGTTTAATAAGTTAAGTTCAGATAATTTCAAATGAAGAGAACGCACCCTTAGTTTCATCGCGTAATAAATTTATACTTCGTACTTTCTACTCTAATATGATTGATAGTCTAATAATTGACCACAAAAGTCAAACATGAACCATATTGTCATGAGACTCATGACCAAATGGGCAATAAGAGTTTTTAATTTTTACAAGAGGATATCGAAAAAAATCATATATGGTAGTAATATCTTGAGGTCAAATTTTGTGAGCGAGTCATCTCAAATCAAAAGAGAGAATTTCCTCAACACAACTTCTATAAATAAACAGTCTAAAGGTAGTAAGATGCCCAAAGAAAGACACAATGAAAGCAACCCTTGAAGAAAAAGAGGTTTAAACAACGATAAAAATTAGTAAAAGAGCAACAACTCACTGATATGTCTAACCTTTTAACACATCATAAGCACGGAAATAAAGAGATATGGTTATCAATTATTTTTCAGAAATTTCTTGTCAAATTAGTGCATGATAAGCTTTTGTACATGACATCAATTGATTGTTGTTCTTGCGTAGCTAGTTTTCAATGGGGTCATATATTATAACCTAAAAGCTATGTTGATACCTAAAAAACTAGCGTATCAACCACAAGATTGTTGCAAATATTTAAGGTAGTATATATTCAAAAAAAAAAAAGTTGAAATTATCAAGATTGGTAATTGATTAAATATTTTTTTTTCTTCATATGATTCATATGAGACGGTCTCACAAAGATTATATACATTAGTAGTTTGTGTGATTTAACTCCTTTTCTTTTACTATTACTAAAAATGTGAGTGTGATTTTAAATATAATTAGCTTGTTTGAGAAAAATAATACTTCGTATTTACTATTGATTACTATATACTTAGCTTGTGAGAAAAATTAAATAATCTTTTGGTTAATTTATACTTGTATTTGAATAGTACAAAAGTCAAAGTATGGGTATTACAAATTTTGTGAAACAGATACTACGATATCACATACACTAGAGTAGTAGAGGATTAGAAGGAATAATCGACATGAATATAATAGTACGTACTTACGTATGTGGGTCTGTAGAGGGAATAATCGACATGTATACAATAGTACGTGGGTCAAAAAAAGGAGAAGGTCTTTGGCAACTACCACTTGAGGTTCAGGGAGCATGATGGCCTTTCAAATCTGTGGGCTGTGGTCACTCCCTTCAAACAACGACTTGCTAGCCAACTTTGTTACTTCCTTTGAGTTTGTACCGGAAATGCTTGTCGGCTTTCCCCCCATCCCATTTTGTCATTTTCATTTAGTTCCTGTAACTTATTATATTATTGCATGAATTTTATACTATAATAATCTATTAATTCATGAAATATTTATCAATTTAATTCATTACGTTATAAAAATCATGTCGTTTTGCCGCTTGCTGCCTTAATTAGTTATAAAGATTAGTTCAATTCAGTACGTTATCAATTTTACTATGTCCATTTCAAATTGTAAGTGGCTCATCAATATTAATGGTAGCATAAAAAAATTCAATTTGAAATGGACAGTAACTTTTTCACATGATAAGAAATATATCACGTACAAATGTATGATGAGTCACTTACTCGTATTATTCACTTTGTATTGTACTATCTCTGTTTTGATCATATTATTTATAACGATTAGACATTTTCTATGAATATTGTTTTTTTTTTTTTTTTAAATCGGCCCGAAAATTTTAAAATATTAAGCAAATGTCCCTTCATCAATTTATTGTTTCATTCATTGGAAGTACGATTTACGTCTTAAGACGTAAAGACGATAGTGTGAATTCTCAGAAACGCAATATAGAAATCTGTTTTTCTCTCCATACCCTCATTGACTAAGTTATCTTAATTAAGACAATGAAATATTTGATCCCTTTTGTTTTATTTGCTTCTTTTGAAAAATTGACCCAACATTAATTGGGGTCTTATGTGATTTGCCAAGACATAGTATCAAGCTATAATTAATAATTCGGCCGAAAAGAAAATAGGATTAAAACATTATACGAGTGTTAGTTATTGTCATATATCAAATAATATATATATTCTTATTGCAAAAGAAAATAGGATTAAAACATTATACGAGTGTTAGTTATTGTCAAATATCAAAATAATATATATTCTTATTGCATATACGACGATTATTTAGAAGGATTAAGACTAATAATGACAACAAAAGGTCAATAAAGACGAGATAAGATACTCTTAATAAGAAATACGTGCAAAATGCTGCAAAGAGACAAAATAGAGATGAGGTAGAGATGATGCATGAGTGCGTGATTGAGTGGTGTTGAGGGTAGTACTAATAATGTGATAATCAGATGTTATGGTAATACTTCAAAAGGAGTAGTAAAGTTTCACAAGTCATAACTTACAAGTACTTGAAATTGTCATAGTGCCTTATCCACCCACAAAATAATTAATGAGGATATGAACGAAATATCATCTTCAAAGTTCAAACAATAATTAAAGTGTATCGTGTTAAATTCGGAATTTTAGAATAGCAACTTATTATAAAAATATCCAAAATTATATAGTTATATGGAGTTTAGCTTACAACTATAGCTAGGGTATGTTGGACGTACAAAAGCTACTTTAACCCTATAATTAGTTTATACTTCCTCCGTTTTTTTATTATTGCACCATATAAGTTGGGCACAATAATTTTGGTAGCGGGAAAAAGGAAGAGACAAAAAGGTAAAAATATAAAAAGTGTCCATATGATGTAAACATAAACTAAAGAATAAGTGTGAAAAAGTAAGGATATGTTGGGTATTTGCAGTGTGAACAGAAATATTTTTTGTATTAAACTAGAAATAGTGCAATATTTGTGAAACTTCCTTAAAAGATAAATGGTACAATATTAAAAGAACGGAAGAAGTATATACAATCCCGTTTTGAGCTACCTAGTAAAAGCCCATAATATAAAAGAGTATAATATAGAATTTTAATAGTAATTACTTAAAACAATGGCATGCTTTAATCAAACAACATTTTTCATTAAAGGGTAATGTTATATGTAACCTTAGGGCTATGAATAAGTATTTAATAACTTTCCTTATTTGGTATTAATTTAGGAATCACTCACAAATAAGTGTAATTAATGTTTTTTTTTTCATTTCTATCTCTTTATATATAGCCTTAGGGCTATGAATAAGTATTTAATAACTTTCCTTATTTGGTATTAATTTAGGAATCACTCACAAATAAGTGTAATTAATGTTTTTTTTTTTCTTTCATTTTTATCTCTTTATATATAGCCCTAAGGGCTATATATAGCATTTTTCTTAATTAAATAGACCCAAACAAGAATATTATTTACACCTCACTTGCAAGGTTAGCTACTTGAAGGTTTTTATGATGATAGTACGTACTTTTTTTTCATTGCACTATCACAATGATTTTGACTAGCTTAGCTTTTCAACGTTATGGTTTTTCACTTCAAAAAACATATGTACCTTTCTTTTCGCTAATTACAGTCCTCTTTGAATAGAACGTATAGCTTTATACACCCCCACCCACCCACCTTCTCGATCTCTCTCCTTCCCATATAAGTTTTATTTTGCATTTTCACTAAATTTCTAGCTAGTCAAAATAGCGTCTTATTCATTTGATTTTCAGTTCGACTTATCGATCTGATCGTAGTTAATAAACTTTATCTAAACATATCTAAAATTACTGGTTTAAAATCAAAGTTATGATAAAATATGTCCTCTATATATAATCAATGATAATCACCACGTCAGAATTACATGAATGGATGTATGAAACTATAGAAACAAAAAAAGTTCCATGCATGCTAGCTTAGCCAAGCTATAGGAAGAACATCGATTAGAATAATAATGGAAGACAACATAATTGGAAACCCAAAAAGATAAATGGATTTTTATATATGTATATAAAATATAAAATAAAATATAAACAAGAACTATATATGGTAATCATCCATTTTAATAATCTCACCTTAATTATATTACAAATGTTATGCAAGCCGTACGTCACGGCACTTTATTATTGGTATATATATGCAAAGTTACTGTAAAATTAAACCACATAATAATTACCCTTATGATAACCCTTTCTGACTTTAACAACTAACGCCATGATATTTAATAATACTACTTAATCATTCCTAGGACAGCTCCAAGCATGTTTTTTTCTGTTATATACCACTGTCCGACACGTGGCATAATGGGTCAATCCCCAAAGATGTTGATGATGTTGTTGTTGTTCTTGTTGTTGCGAAATTCCATAGATGATCTATCTCGTTGCTGCCGCCATAATTATCCAGTGTTGCATGGTATATCTTATTATGATGATCACCTGATGATGATGTTGATGATGATGATCTCAACGGCGGTAATTGATCTAGGTCATGTTCATGATCATTTGATAAGGGTGAGTATATGGATGTCATGGTTTGACCATTTAAGTGTGTTGCAACAAGTTTGTCTAGGGTGGCCCAATCACTGAGTCCCGTGTAGACGGGATCCGTCTCGGGTTTGGTCATCGAAACGAGGTCGTTTTCGGGTAGGGTTTGGTAGTATAGGGTGGTGGTGGTGCTATTATTGTTTGGGCTCTCAAGGCCTGGGAGTTTCATGAACCTTTCAAGTTGATGTTGGGAGGATGATTTTGTAATATTGTTGATCTTTTGAGATTTGCCCCCCATGTATTGAAATATTTGCTCTAAGGCCCCTTGATCATCGCGATCATGTTGATCATGATCACCTGGTGAATCAAGCATGCTTATTGATGAGTGTGATTCTAATGCCATGGAAGATGATGATGTCTTGATTGGGCTGTCTAGGTCTTTTAGGTGGTTTTTCTTCTTGAACACTCTACAAACCACCCACCCTTCTTCTTGTACAAAATCTCCACTTCTCAAACTTGTAACCTTCATGCCAAAAGATAAAAAAATATAAAATATTATTAATTCATTGATTATTATATTTATTGCATGCTTTAAAAAAAGAATATCACAAGTCATTAATATAATATGTAGCACAATAACATTTTCAATTCGAAAATTATTATATTGTAAATATTCTTTACAAAAAAGGTGGTGACAAGAAATATCTTTTTGTTGCTCCCATTTAATTTGGGTCTTTTATCAAAACTTGTCCAATTCAGAAATAGCTAGACACACACTTTTGATCTTTTTCATTCATACAAAGTACGTAGCTATAAAGAGGAATGAATTTATGTACATAGTACGTTGTATATAAATTTTTTCAATAAGATCATTAAAAAATTATTCAAACAAAGAATAACTTAAAATGATGTAAATCAATTGAATAGAATTGTAGAAATAAACAAATATTCAAAAAAAAAAAGTACAGAAGAAGGAGAATAAGTAAATAATCAATGATTATAAGAGAAATTAGGTTGTGGTTCATTCTCTAACCATACAATTATAAAGTCATATGAACATCAATAAACAGAAACTTTGGATACTTTATTCCGTTTTTGACTTGAAAAATAAAACCTATACTTCATAGATGACTACATAGCTGCTAGCTCAATATATAGCTACCTAAATAAACACTCTCCTTTGTTAGATTTTTTTTTCTAAGAAAAAAAAAATTGTGATTTAAGTAAAAAATGTTAAGAGGATAAGAAATTGCACTCAAATTCTAAATTGAGCATAAACTATGATCTGAAATAGGCTTATGTAAACAAAAACAGAAAGAATACTAAAAAGAGTAATACAAGTATAATCTTACATGGTTATCATTGTTATTGTTGGTGCTTTCATCAAGTCGATATTCATGCATAATCCAATCAGATTTCTGACCATGAGGAGCTCTTCCTTTGTAGAAAACAAGCGTCTTCCTCATCCCAATCCTGCTAGAGTTGCTGTAGATCACCTTATCACGCCCAGTAGCCTTCCAAAACCCGGCCGCTGTGGCCCGGTTAGTCCTTGTCCCTGTTGGGTATTTCTTGTCTTTGTGACTAAAGAAGTACCAATCATTCTGTGGTGTAGTTCCTATCTTGCATTTTTCTAAAAAAAAAAACAAAGTACATAATTATTTCACATCTTTTTCTGATATGGACTATACAACAAAGGCTCATATGTGCAGACAAATTTACCAATTAAACTAAATGACATATGCGCATACGGGCTTATTGGAGGGTGTAGGCAAAGTTTATTACATACCTTGAATATCCCAAGGTTCAAGCTTATTGAGATCAACTTCAAGAATGACATCCAAGTCAATCTTCTCACTAGCAACCTTCTTTCTTAGATAATATAGCAAGAGCTCTTCTTCAGTCGGATGAAATCGAAAACCCGGAGGTACCCTTGATTCTCCATTTACAGATATATTCATTTTCGCTCGCATTACCTAGCAAGAATACTTATTATTGCTAGAATAGTGGCCCAACTAAAAAAAAGTACATAAAAGAATTTTTATTTTTTTTCTAACAAACAAAGGATTCTATCTTAAGAAACTAATAAAAATTGAAGATTAAGATTTGCTTTGATAATTAAGATTGCAGCACTAATTAATGTTTATGCGATGATTATAGAGAGAAGAAGAGAGAAAAATAAAGGGAGACAAAAAAAATAGGAATAGAGGTTGAAGGGTTGATAGAATGATTAATGTCAACCTTTGTGGTACCCGAACTGGGGCATAGAAAGGTCTATTATTTATATGTGAAAAGGTAGCTAGGGCATTATATAATATAAGGTCCAAAATATACTACAGTTACTAGCTAACCACTTTACTATTTACTTAGTTTCATATTCAGAATATATTTAATTATATAATATAACTATGATATATAGACAAAAAATTTGATATCCTAGGTTATTTAAAATAGTACAAGTACATTGTATAAAATAAAAGCTAATCTCAGTTTGTAATTTGTCTATTATAATGAATCCAAAATTTAAGATTATGTATAAATTGTCCAAATCGGTACATAAATTATTCAAGAGGGAAGTAATGCTAGCATAGTGCATGAGACATAGAATATAATGTCACTTTATAAACTATGAATCAATTATCAAAGTCGTCTTTTATCTAATAAAATATCAACTTTGTCTTACCATGCTATATGAGAAATACGACCATATTATTCGTCATGTGTGCGCTTTCAGAATCCAAGTAGTAATACTGCCCTCACTCTCCGTCTCTTTTTATCATTTAATTAAACTAACTAACTTTATTATATACTACCTCCATTAATTTTTAGTTGTAATAAAGGAATTTTTTATGTTCGCAAATATACCTTAACGCATGTAGTATACGAAGTATAAATATATACTTTGTATAATTAGAATTGAATAATAATAATAATAATAATAATAATAATAATAATATAATAATAATAATAATAATAATATAATAATAATAATAATAATAATAATAATAATGACATATCTAGCTATAGAACACTTTATTTATATTGTTTTAAAATGAATCACCTTATACAATCTTTTGTGCATTCTAAATTGCAATAAAGCCTATTTCCACATATTTTAGGAAAAATAACTTCAGATAATAATATAGTTACTAAGTTCAAATAAGCTCGAATAAGATGATTCCACAAAAAAGAGTTAATTTTTTTTAGATAAATGTTAATAAGGGTTATCTAATTTCGATTTACTACCTACTAAGATAAACTATAGCATGCAATGCAAGTTCAAAATTAGTTCAAATAGATTTTAATAAGTAAAAATCAAGTTACACAACATGCCCTAATAATATTCACCATTGGCTTTGTTAGAGGACTAACTCAACCAAAAATTTAAGCTGATGGTTAAAGCTCAAGAATATGTTTTATATGCTCAATAATCTGATCAGAAAATTGTACGGTAGCTGCCGCCCTATTATTTTCAATTTCATGTACTGTATGAAATTATTCTCAATTGTAGTTGCGGTCCTTAATATTATCTCACCACTCTGATCTTGGAAATCACATGTATGAGCACAGATAATGGATTGACCAATTTAAGCTAAGCAAGAAAGCCAAGAACAAGAGTAACTTATATTGTCACTCTACCAATAACGAACATGCATGATTGCATGATTTCAGGCATGTAATACATTATAATATTATTTTAAGTTGATGATATAAGTGGTTAATATGGTTCAACTTTTTTCATTGAGTTCATTACGTGTCCACAAAATTGAAGTGTTATTACAACTTGGTAATTATTGGTATCTTATCAGACATATTACACGTTTAGTTGTGAAAAAATGAATATACATACACAAATCATCAAAAATGTTTTGAAAATGTAAATAACTTCATATGTATAGGCTTATTTGAAAGAAAGATTAAACAAAGTCACTAATGAAGAATTTGAAATAGAGAATTAAGTACTTCGTAATAAGGAGTGAAAATTAGACTTTTTATGACTTTAGAGGTATAAATTTGTCAAAATTAACTATTTATTTTATCAAATACAATTTTCTGTTGATTTGCTCAAATAATTAATTTAATACTTTGCAAAGAAAATGAGATCACATTATTCATTTATAGATATAAAATACATACTACGAGTACCTTTATTTCATAATATATTTTGACTTTTTACACTATTTACTTTCTGGATTAATATAAATTTTGACTACACATTTTTACATATATAAAAATGAAACCTGTACATGTTAAGTATTGTTGAATTAGCCTCAATGAATGATTTCATAACACTTCGTATATTTCTTTAAAAAAATTATTGATTAACTTGTACAAATTTAATGGTCAAAGTGGTGTCTTAGAAAGTACAAAAGTCAAAACATTGCATTTATTGTATGTAAAACGAGGATAGTATATACTGGCAAGATACGGTCAATCAAAATGAGATTTGAAATTAAATACAGTGAAAACATTCAATGTATTTATATTACGAGATAGATGAAGTGATAAATGATACTTTATACTTTGTAATTAGTAGGAATATATGAAATATGAAAACCAATGAATGAAGAATTTAGACATGGTTATTTCTTTTTTAATTTTGCTGGTGGATTTTCTTCCATAAAGGGCCACCAACACCAAACGCTTTACACAAAATGTTGAAAAAAGAGATACCACACACTTTTTTATTTTTTTATTTTTTTTTTGAGGAAAAAAAAAAAACAAAAAAAACACACACACACTTAAAACACTCTACACTGCTACAACTACTTGTTGGCTTGTTGCAACTGTTGGACGATTCTCGTTTTGGATTCCCTTTTTTTGGTGCCATATTATTATATTATACCCTAATTTAATTTGGCTATTTATCATGTTAACTACTCTTCAACCTTATTTTATCATTTTTTTTTCTGCAGTTTCGATGTCATCTCAATTTATTTCAAAGTTATTTTAATTTATTTTCTAGGCTCATAAAAACCACATGTGCGTAACAAATTATATTATGCTTTATAATTGTTATGTTTATTTATTTATTGTAAGGAAAAGGGCAAAAGACCCTATAAGATGGGAAACCCCTTTTTTAAAAAGAAGGGGACAAGGAAATCCTCATCTCTAAAGTATCTCATATTTTATAACCGTAGTAATAACATAACAAAGTTACACCCTTTGTGTTTAGTCTCATTTTGTCTACTTACCATTTGTAGATTTCTAAGATACATGTTGGACCATTGACATCTTGATCTAAGTATTAGTGAAAATTGTGAAAAAGTTGATACATTAAAAATTAAAATAAAGTCAAATAAATCTAATTTTACAAATTCTCAATTGTTAACGTTTTCCTTGTATAGTTGTATATAAATTATAAATGTGGTCAATATATAGTTTAAGTTTTAAGTATATTATGACAGCATAGCAAGTACTTTAATTTTGTTTTATGTAACTAGGAAGTTATTTTTCCCTTCAATTTGCATTTCTCATGTGTTTTACTATTATAGGAAGTGAGCAAAACTATTCGTAATAGGCATAAGAAGATGAAATTCTCGTAATAAGTAACTTTGAATAGTGGAATTTTAAGGGCGTTTCACTTTGCTTGCTTGCTGATATCAAACAAATAACATCTCAACACAGTCAAACCTTTATTTTTCATAAATACCGTAACTTGAAAAAACATCATTAGGCTAAGCATATATATAAAACTAATGAGCAAGTATTAGACGCATGTTAGTACGGCATAAAAAGTTTAAAACATTTAACAAATTAGTGGTTAGAATAAGAAAAAATTGGAAACCTAAACAGAGAGAGAGAGAAGGTTTTGGTCATCAAAAAAAAAAAAAAAAAGGATGAAAACATGTAGGGGAAAAAAAAGGGACCCACAAAAGGACGTTGTGGAAACAAGAATGTAGGACGAAGGGCGCTATCGTAACGGTGACTAGCAACCTTATGATATCTTGGGAAAGAGAGGCCTTCCCTTCTCTCTCTTTTTTGAATGTGAATTGTGGGGATCTTTCTAAAGTTCCAATTACCTTTTCTCTTACCGCAACTACCGCAACAACAAGGAGATGATGGGTTGGGAGCCATTTTGCTTTCATTCAGATATATTGTGGGGTCATACTTGTTGATTTTTTTTTTTTTTTTTTTTTTTATGAGATGGATGTCAATAATAATTTTTAAAAGTAGATGCTTTCTTTTGTTTATTACTTAGAATTGCAATGTGATAATTTCATATTTCTTCCGTTTTTATTAATTACGATAGTTAAGTTTTGTAAATTGTTGTTTAAAATTAAGGAATAGGGCGAAAGATTGACACTAGATGCGCATATTTTTCAATGTATGCAAATGTTTTGGATCATAGGTTCTTTGAATGGAAGGTGAAAGCTTGTTTCAATAACTTTTCATCGTCTATTTATAAGCTCATTTTTTACAAGAAATGAGAAAATTATAGTTGTATTACAAAAAAATGTTCGAAGCTGGAAGTTTTTGAATATTTCGGAGGCTAACATGAAACTTTTTCCTATTTTCATTCTCCCTTTTTTTTTTTGAAATTGTTCTCTATTTTCATAGTTTTCTCTTGATGGCTACGGGGATATTTTTTGGGGAATAATTTAGGGTTTCTAATTTTCTTTATATCATATTGTAAAAGGAACAATTATTTGTACTATCAAAAGGGCACAAAATGGCCAAGTAAAGCCAATTCAAGTCAAGTTATAAGTACACTTAGCTTATGAGATAGAGTTTGTGTAAGGGAGATAGTTGTATCTCCTCTACTTCACTCTTAGTTGTTCGTTCCTCCATGTAATAAACTAGTAAGAAAATGTTCATATCCTTGCCCCATGGAGTAGATTATGTTGATCGAACCATGTATGTCTATTGTTCATCTTTTTTTTTTTCATATTATGAAAATAATGTAAAAATGGTTACAAGTTGCTCCTAGCTGTATAGGAATGTAAATCAACTTTATCTTTAATATGGAAAGTTTGAGGTTGATGGTATACAATGGGACTGCCTATCTACTGGCTGCAGAGGCTAGTCTAGCTACTAGCTATGCTATGCATGCACACATGAAACATGAAAATAATGTGCATGACATCTTTCACTACTACATGACTTGTTATTTTCTTCTTTTTCTTCTTTTTTTTTTTTTTTATTCTTTTGTGTTTCTTTATTACGTCTGCTCTAATAGACTCATATTAGTGCCGCCATTAAGCAATTCATTCATACCTACAGACCGACAGTTTAAACAAACTATAATATATTGCGTGTTATTACATTTTTATATTAGTTGATGGTGGGACAAATTTAAATAAGACACATGACGATGGATATATGGAGACAATGGAGTGTTAATGTGTTATAGATGAGGGTTTTGATTGTGCGTGCATGCATGGATTATGGGATTTCGTGATAAGCAATGAGCTAATTATTGATTATCGATTCAAATGAGGATACTAATATTATTGCATACTCTTTTCGTTCTTGAAAGTTTAACTTTTTTTTATTGTAAATTTTTGTTTCAAAATGTAAAAAAGTAATTTAGTGGGTGTAAAAAAAATCGATGATGAGAGTTGAAGTAAAATGATAAGTAATATTGATATTATATAAGAATGAAGTGGATCAAGTTGTAGAAAGTGCGGTAAGGATATAAGGTGATAAAAGCCTAAAAGGTAATAGTATGATTGACAAAAATGAACAGATAGAGGATTTAGGGCTACTATAGCTTGGGTTACCAACCATGCATAGAACTACTCTATAAAAGAGAATGACCTTACAATTGATGAGTTAATAGGGTTACTGTTCTTACTAATGAGTTTTCACTAATCACTATTACCAATAGTTATGAGGATAATAATCACTTTCTCATAAGATTGTCATCTAAACTTATACTACCTCCATTACATAGTGCTACTTTTGAATTTTTTTATATATCGCAAATAATACCCAAAAGTTACACATACGAGTAATATGTAATAGAAGTAGTACGGTGTATATTTTCTTCTTGAAAGAAGTAAAAAAAAAAAGGTAATCCCTCAGCTCCGTTCCTTTTTTTTTTTTTGTTACATTTTAACTCTTTATATTTCCCAATGCACTTGTTTGACCATTAATATCTTTAATTGCATATATGTAAAAAATTATAGTGATTGAATATTAATAAAGTACTCGTTGAGACAAATTAAATAAAACCCCACATAATTATATTATGTCTTATTACTTATTGGGAATAGATTAAAAGATTTTATTATCTTATGAACAGTGTTACAAAACAAAACGTAACCAATATAAACGGAGGAAGTACATATTAGAGGCATTAGAGGTAACATTAGAGCCATACCAAGCATACTCAGAAAAAAGTTTAGCTTTTCAGCAATGTTTATATATATTAAGCTAAAAGTGTGAGTGGATGAAATTTAAAGCTACTTAGCTAAAATGGAGAAAGATAATACCAATAATGTGTTTAATCTTTGAAAGACATAAATAATGTAATACGACTGTACACATTTCAAGTCTTTTTTTATCTGAAAAATTGGTAGTCAATTATATTAATCACTTTTTCTGGAAACACTAAAACAGTATTAGACATACACATCTAGTTAATGAAGAACTTTTTGTGGTCACAATTATAATCATAGCATGGCCCTTTTGCTAAAGAAATTTGCTTCTCATGGTATCTGTTTAGCCTGATAATCGACTGATTAACCACTAAAGCTTTCTACTGCTAAATTTTTCACAGATTATTATTTGCACCTAATCTTTCGGGCAAATCACAAGCCTAAATTATCATCAAATTTATTATTTTTCTTGAGTTTAATTATGGTGAACGTAAGGCAGAAGATTAAAGCATAAAATCTTCGATGGCGGTAGCAACAAAGATCACTATTTCTTAATATATAATCAACTTGTTTTTGGTGAAAAAATCACAAGTTGATTTTTTCTTATTGTTTTCATAAAATAATTAATTGATTTCCCTGAATAATGCTAAAATACAAATTAATTCTCTATATAAGTCGGTTTAAAAACTATTTCCCACAATACCATCCACTTAGGATTGGTTCCTAGGTTTGAAATTTGACAGTATAAAACCGCTAATATCATTAGAGGTTTTATGCATAAAACCTATAATGGGCATAGAATAGAACCTCTAATGGTTGGTTCTAAGTTTGGTTACTGCTAGATTATATAATACCACTAGTAATAAAACCAAATTATATAAAATCTCATTGGTATTAGCGGTTCTTTATATAGAACACTATATAAAGAACCGCTTTTCTATATTAGTTAAAACCGCCAACAATGTTAGCGGTTTTATAATTGAAAATACCGAACCTTGAAACGGATTGTGGGAAATAGTTTTTGAACCAATGTATATAAAGAATTAGTTTATGTTATTACATTATTTTTGGAAATTACTTTCTTGTAAGTGCATGTAAATATGAACATCAGTCTTTCATATCAAATAATTCGTATAATATTATTTACTTCGTACTATAGTCTAAGTATGAATATAATCTTACTCTTATGTCTAAAGAGATTGCGACTCCTACATCAAATCAACCATGCAAAAAGAATGTATACACTGATTAATTGTATGCAACCATTCTATATCTTGCGATAATGATTCATCATATAGCAATAGAATTATTCAATTTCATCATAATAATAATAAGTTAGAAAGAAGTATCTAATGAGCCATTTTATATTTGTTTTCAGATAAATAACATTCCCATTTTTGAAAGAAATCATGCAACAAACAACTGTTTGTTTATTCTAGAAATAGTACAGAAAATGATCGATTTCATCACATTCCAACTTCGTAATAAGTTAGAAAAGAAGAATCTAGCTTAGTGAGCCAATTTATTCTTCTTGTCGATTTACATATAGTATCTCCCGTTATATTTTAATAAATCGTACAATTCTTCATAATTGTTTATTTTGTAATAACGTAGAATCGTAGATAATGCATGTTTGCATTACATAGACATGTACGTAACGACCTTCTTCTACTTCATGATAATACGTTAGAAAAGAGTCTAATGTGTCGTTTAAGTTTTGTTTTCAAATAACATTTCTGTTATATTTTTATAAGTCTTGTAATATTCACTCAACAACAAAATCTGTAGCAATAAACAAATTCAAGATCCTATGTATTTGACGTGGGCCCTCGTCATTAATCTTCAAATTGTAATTAATCACTAATATACTGCTTCCTCCATCCTAAACAATACTGTGTAGGTCATTAGGTAGTCATTTTCAAATGTAAAGCTCCAAGTTTCTTCTTGTTTATACATACATTTGTCTGATACGAATTTACTTACCCTATCTATTTATTTTATTTTTTTTAATTTATTTATGTACTCGTAATTAAACTTTCAAACCCTTATCGAAACTTGTTTTTCTTTTAACTTATTTTTATGTGACAAAAACAATATGATAGCATAGTAAAGTCTGTAAAAAAAATATAGCAAATGATGGTTATGAAATTTTGATTCAACTCTTTCAAAAATTAAACCATCAAATACTACCTATTGTTAAAATAAAAAGGGTACATTATTACTTTTAGACTCCAAAATTTTCAAAAATATCTTCAAACACAACAAGCCTTGTTAGTACTATAACCAAAACAGTAAACGCCACGTACCTTCAAACAGCGCTGTATCCAATTGCATGAGAACACATAATTCCATTATCACTAATTATAATTTGAAAACGACATTAACCTTAATTACCTGTGCAGCAATAGACTACAGAGAAATCAATAAGATTATAACAGGTTATAAAGTATATACAGCATAAGTATAGGAATGACTACTATTCCTTTTTGTAAGATCATTCAAAACCGAGTAATCGAGTATGATCCCAATAACAATAAATACTCGATTCATTGAAACAAGTGGATCAACATCCGAAGCTTCAAATCTTCAATTCAAGTTTATGATTACCCCGTGCACTTGCTTGCTAGCAAGTGTTGCTGCCGCCTCTCTTGCTAAGAAACATCAAGTATCCTTATCAGATTACTGCAGCAGAACGCTAGATATCATTGATGAGCTCAAAGAGAGATCTAAAGAAAGCTGAACATGATCAACATCTAAAATGACACATTGGGAAAAAGAGAGCCAAAAAGAAATACTCCACTGAACAAGGTTCAAATTGGTGAAATGCTGAAATGTGTTTAAGTAGACTGATGATCATGTAGTTATCTAGTCAGTTATTTTGTTCAATACTCAATAGAAGCATTAGTTCAGTACTCGAAGTAAGCTACTGAGTTTCTTAGAGCAAGCTAAAGGGTTATTGAATAATACTCTGTATGACAATAAAACAAAAAAAAAAAAAAAAAAAATAAAATCAGACACCCCCCCTAAAAATAATTCCTTCAGAAAAGATGAGGCATAAATTTCCTGACAGGTTAGCGTTCATACTGAGGAAAGCCTGTTTGCCTAGCCAAAGATAATCGGCCTACCTGTGGCCAGTTGTAGCAACCCTATGAGTTTGTCAAGGTGAACGTCTAGAAGTTCTTTGAGATAGTGGGTAAGAATTGATAATTTGATACCACGCCAACCATTACTTTAAACACCTTACTGTCTCATATTAAGGTTGAATATTTGAACTTTACAGCCAATAAGGCTTTGTACAATTGGGAAGCTGGAGTATGGGATAACAGAAACTACCCGTAGTCCCGTACAAAAGAATTCTCCGTCAAAATACAAGGGTCCTATTTACTCCACTCAAGTAAAAGAAACTTTCCCCACCACCAAATGTCCAAATGGCAAGTAAAGGAAGGTCAATATCATGAAAATCCACTTAAATCATAATCCATCAGGTATACAGGTAAAAAATTTAAGACATATGGACAAAGTGACAAGATTAACAAGGTAGAATTATGTTGAGGGATGGCATGGTAATTTAATTACATGCCATATCAGATTTTGGGTTGGCACCGACAGCTACTCGGGCAACCCCAATACACTAAAAGCTTATCAGTAAGATTTTACAAGCTAAGTCAGATCAAACATGTTTACTTGCACTGGAGGCAACGATTATAGTGTTATCAAATCTCAAAACAGTTTTGAGCTGGTTATTTCAACTCCAACTACTTGTCACTGAAAGCTTCCAGAAGCCTAAAACTACAATATAATGCTCTATGCAGCATGGTCATGCATGAAATTAACAGAAAATGTAGTTTGAAAGTCGCAGTAAAGAAGAAAGAGACAAGCAACAAAAAGAGACACTATAAAAAACACACGCCCTTATGAAAATGCGTCAACAAGATCAATCAGTGTTCTACTCTTGTTATTGGAGTTTGGTAGTCTGTAGGAAGGTGGTTGCTAAATGACATGCTACAAGAAAGAATACAGTTTGGTACTCAAAATACCTCCAATTTGTTTTTAGCTTCCTGATCAAATGCTTTACAAAGGATCTCATAACTCTTTCCTAATCCTACCTGCAAAAAACATAGTAAGGAGGTACTAGCTTTAAGTCTTAACCAGGATTAATTAAACAGCTAATTTCTTGTAATAAATTTACAGGCGTTAGGCAAAAAATCAGTAGCCGTACCACTGGATCAACTCTTGATGGGGAAATACGTGATATACAATACCTGCAATGATAAGAAAATCAAGGTATGAAATACTCATTTTAAGAAACAAAAATCTCACGATAAAAAAATTATATTTTCTCTTCGTTGGCTTGCACCAGCAGATATCTAACTCAACATGCTCCTATTTCTAAGTCTCAATTTTTTTCACCAAGGGGTTGCTAGATGCTACACTTCCATAAAAAAGCCTAAAATCTGTTTGGCTGACCACATGAAGCACCACTTGTCTTGGGGCGTTAGCCAGTCAGGTAAGCAATTTCCGACATATTGTGAGAAGCATGACTTTCCAGCAATTATAACTCCTTACATTTTGTAAACCAAACTTCCAAAATTTAATGAATAATTTTCAGTATAGCTTCCTGTGGTTTTTCATTAATTGTTCATTGAGTAAAGATAAACTGTATATAAGTAAGAAAACTAACATGTGGCAAAGTGACAAAATTATCCTCAAACCAATTAAAAATTGGTGTGTGGTCAGGGGAGAGAAAATTTAGTCTTTAATTTTTTTATTAGGTTTTTTATAACAAACATACTCTATCTTGCTTCTGTCAAGATAAATCTGACCCCTTCCCCTGTTGCCAAATACATACATTAGACATATTATGAAGTGAAAATCTTTCTAGTGGCAGGTCCGGGTAAAAAATAGGGAAGGCAATTACATTATATTTTCGCCTGGGAACAGGATCTATAGCCATTTTTAAAAATCCATAGTTGCAAACTTGAAATCCTGTTCCTAGAGAATTTCCTTTACATAAGCTTAAAAAAATCTTTTTTAACCAGTCCAGCATTATGACTCCTTTTTATATTAGCTTCAGCATTTCTAGAAAAAAATGTTATAGATATAATATTACGTTGGTGGACCTCATTAAGATACAATCTGTTGTAAAATAAAAATATCACAGGTTGACAGGTTTTTTGGGGTCATTAAACATTAATCATATTTACATAAACTGTAAAACATACCAAACAATCAGCGTACAAAACTTACCCTAGTTTACTAGTATAGAAAAACATAGCTGACAAGTTTGCCTTTTGAACTGTAAGCATTATAGCAGCCATACAATTCTGCACAAGTGAAAAAGACATATTAAAGGTTATCTTAGCATACCAATATTACATAACAAATTACCCAATAAATCATACTGGAATCATTAAATGTACAGAAAAAACCATCCATCATTCAGCAGAAACCCCAAAACAGAATAGTTCAAGATCTAGAAACCCAGAAAAGTACATATATCACTGAAATACAAATATGTAAGCTACACAGACCTTATTTATTGGGATATACGTCATTTCGAATTCTTACTTCCTACACTATTGTGCACAAGGCAGCACATAGACTCGCCCTTTTAGCTGCTTGAGCTAGTATGTATACACTTCCTTTGATATTTTAAGTTTAAAATTGACTTCACATTCATTATTCTCATAATATTATAATTGAATTACCAGTCAGAAATAGAAGATGGAACTTGGAAGTAAATAAACCACCTTACGAGCAATACGCTCTAGAAGTTGCATCAATAGTTTCCCAAGTCTTTTGCCTTGTATGCATGGCTCAAGTTGCAACTCATATACATAGAGAACAGGAAGCTCCTCCTCCATTATAAAACGGTAGTGCACAAATCCAACAACATCACCCTTATGATCATTTGTAGGCATCAATCTCTTCTTAGTATTGCTAATCACAATTGGAACTTCATACACAAAAATGTAGCGTGCCTCTGGAGCAATCATTTCTCTACATTTCACCTTTTCTTCTTTGGGCCATTCAGTTCCATAATATTGCTCCATGTTTTGCTGCATAAAAAAATTAATTAATTAATTAAAAAAAAAAAAAAAAAAAACCCACAGTCTTATTTATGTGCACAATATTTCTGTACAGGTGAGTAGCATTAATGCTTAATAGTACAGATTTAGCCTACTTCCTTGTCATGTATTCACATCATCATCAGTCTTTAATATGGCATGAATAGGTAATATTATGAAGGCAGACTTGGGTGTTAATATAAGGTCATGGCTGAAATCTAGCGATTGCTTATTTTCCTATGAAGCAAAATGAGCGGAAAACATGAGAAAGCAAAAGGAGCCTACACCTTATATCATATGACTTTGTAATACCAAAATAAATCACAAGACGCGGCAACACAGTAAGCAGAAAAGAAGTGCCATAGATATATATTTTGGTGATTACCTTAACCAGTTTCTGAACATACTGCTTCAAGAAACGTGATAGCTTGGTCCCACGTCCTCCCTCCAAGCATAAACAGAGACCTTATGTAGCCATATACATAGACATAGATATGAAGACATCAATGGGGATCAAAAGTAAAGTTGATAATTTGCACCATAATAATCTAAAGCTAATCTCAAAATCTACTTCCAAAAAACATCTAATTCTTCAGTATATATAGATTTCACATAAATTGTTCAACATTACTAATACACAGACAATGATCTCATTTTAACAAGACTACGCTCTGGAACCTCTCATAAAATAATTACTCTACCAAACATAGACATCACGACCATCAAATGTGCTGGTGTGTTAGCATAAATGATTTAAATATTGCAATTGTAGCAAAGTATTATTTTTCCAACTTTGATGCATGTTATTCGAAAAAACGGTGATGATTTTATTAAACTTCTCTATCTCTCCTTGTTGACTTATTCTAATGGACCTGGGCTGCACCCATCAAGGAGGAGTAGAGCTGTCCACTTTAAACCTAACAGGAGGTTCTACCCCAAAACTAATAGGGAATCTGAACAGTAGTTCCTCGAGCTTATAAGTCGGTTATTATTATCTCTCCTCTTCTCCAAAGGACAACTCACAATGTGTATTTTTTTTGTGTTATGACGTGCATTTTTTTCATAAGCTCTAGTCACCCTCAACTTTACTGTCAATATATTTTAAATATCAAATACGAAGTACATCTTAAGTATCATGAAACAATGTGCTTAATTAATTGCTCCATTGTGCAGAAACATTTTACTTAATTATGTAATCAGCCCAACACACAAAAAGCTATTTCTTTCAAGTGAAATGAGTGTTTCTCTGGCATGCATATTACTATATTAGGAAAATCAGAAACCATAAACCAGAATGTAAGCAGAAAAATAGAGGATCATGCAGGCTACCTATAGAATCCCCAGTTTAAAGAGTTATGCAGGACTGTTAACCAACCCATTCATTCCATGGATGAAAGGCCAGATTTGCAAATCCAGGATCCCTTTATGTTAGCAAGATCAATGTCTAAAACAAAAAGTCATCTACTAATTATCTATCTTAGAGAACCAACACATAAATAAATAAATTCCGACAAGTAGTCCTCACTCCTCAAACCTTAATCTCAATTGATTGGAGGATAAGTCCTACCGTAACACAGCACAACTGCACAAGCATAGCTGAAGTTTTTTTTTATTGTAATTTCCATACAAAGTACATATTTTTGGATATAAAATCAGGCATGGAATGGGGTTTCAGTTGTTGATTCACAGAAATACTACCAGTCTTAAGTAAAAGTCTTAAGTAAAATCATCTGCATATTTATAGTTAAATGCTATAGAATCTACGAAGGAACAAGGCTTTTAAAAAAAAAAAAAATTCAAATACAGGCCAAAATTTCAACCTCCTGTTGATAATCTCTCTTTTATTTGCCTCAACAGTAACAAACAACTCCATAGCAAGCAGTAATGTGATGAGCCCTCATTCAATCACTCCCTTCACTAAGCAACACAAAGTTCAGCGGCGGAAAGGTAGAAGAAATTGCCTCAACTGTATACCAGAGTTAAACAAATCCTGAAAGTCCAAACAATGCCTCACTTTCTGTAGTTATTATTAGGAAACAGTTTTCAGGGTCATTTGCGATTTGAAAACAGAAAAATCCGGTTCTTGTTCTGAAAGTTATATGTTTCAATAAGTTTGTATCCTCACTCTTCAAACTACACTCACTACAAAATCTCAGTAATAATAGCAAGTCTAGAGTATTAAGCCCATGGAAAACCCTGATATCCACATTCATAAGAATCACAACTACAGTAATCATCTTAAAACTCCAAAGCTGAAACAATATCCATCTCATTAAGAATCCCTCAAAATTATACTTGGAAAATACTAGCATCCAGTGTACCCAAAATCAATCTAACTTCATCAATATTGAAGCATTATATTCGATACTATTTCATAATTCCCAATCGGGTGAACTTCATCCAGTGAGCGAATGCATAACTCCAACCCAAGTACCTACAAGATCCAAAGCATGAAGTTCACCCGATTGGGTATTTAAAATCATCCATACATCCTATTGCTTCTAGCCGTCTAGTCTTTACTAACACATCGAGCTATTTAATTAAAATGCATCTCAAAACTACCTAAGCTATCAAAAATATACCAAGTATATTCCAGTCAATTTCCACCACCTCTTCTATTGTCTTCATACAATTCAACTACAATGTTCAGCAATTATAACGATCAGCAATTAATAGCAATCAGCAAATTAATTCCTTCAGTAATCCTTAAATTTCATCTAAATTTTATTACTTAAAAACTATTTTTCTTCAATCAATTTGATTAAATTACTAGAAAAAATGACGGAGATAGAAACGATTACCTTGTTGATTATAGTGAAGAAATTCAGGAAAAGAAGCAAGAGGGTCTTTTAGGGAAGAAGCTGCTTTGATCAACCCATTTACAACTCTCTTCTTCTCTAATATCTACAAATTTATACAACACCCACCAAAAATCTGTAAGAAATTTATCACAAACAAATTCCCAACTAAAAAAAAAAGTAATTTTGGATGAAAATTGCTCACCTGTTTCCTCTTCGTTGTTCTCTCCTTGTTTCTATAGATATTTACATTTTCTCTCTCCATAACAATGCCCAAAGCTTTGAATTTTTCCTACATTTGTATTCCATGTGAATTTTTTTAATAATAATCGAAATCCATAAACCCTAATTTCATAATTCCTCGCTAATGCGAAAGGCGATTGACAGGGAGAAGTAAATTTGGGTCTTCAAAATCAATTGATCAATTCTAAATTTCTGACTATTTCTTCGTAGAATTCGATAGTCGGTATTCACTATATCACTGTATTCTAATTTTTCTGATGAATTTGTTAATTAATTGGAGTTGCACAAGAAGGGAATATTAATACGAGCAATTAGGGTTGCTTATGATGCGAGTCGAGTTGAGTTTAGGGTATATCAATTCGTTAACATATTGGGTCGAGCTTAATCGAGTTGGATTTTTTGATTGAACTTTGACCGAGTTGAGGTTTAATCGAATCGAGCTTTGATCGTGTTGATTTTGAGTAACTTGCTAATTAATTCGGTCTTAGTAGAACCCCTGTATAGTGTAACACTAGATGGAAGTCCGTGCGATGCACGGTTTTTTATACATAAATCTCATAAAAAAAAAATTCTTAATTAAACCCTATATTTTTTTTATTATTTTGCTTGTTAGAAAACGGATCATTTGTTTTATTTTTATGCAACTTATAATGAGACCTTAATTTACTAATATTAGTTATATGAAAGTTATAAGTATGATAGATATTAGAATAAAATCATAATCTTGTTCGTATTTTTTTAACCTATGATTCGTTTGTATAACGAAAACACGTTGTTCCATTATACATATATAGTTATAGAATTACTATTTTTCTTTCACAACCAATAACTTAGACCACCATTATTCTTTTACTCCGTATCAACTTTATACAATGAAAAATTAATAAAGTAAACCCAAAAGTATAAGGTTAAAATAAAGACAGTGGGAGTGATAGTAAAAGATATGACTTTATAAATTTTTAAATAGTTAAATGAAATATATATATACTACCAAGAGTGTTGCATTACTAAATTAATCTAATTGAATAAAATTAAATCTTTATAATGAAATTTCATTATCATATGTCTTAATAATAGAGTTATATGTATACACTACTACAATGATTTTTACAATAATAATATAGATATTCTACCAGAAACTACAATACACAAAAAATAAAAATTATTAGAGACATCTCTTACAATCTTTAATTTTTTTTTTCCCTACTATTGTAACATTATAGTTAACTTAGGGTCTGTTCTGATTTACTGAACTGAGCTGAGGTGAACTGAACTGATTGAAGTTGAACTGAACTGAATATTTTATGAGAGAGGGAAATTAGGAACTGAACAGAACTGAACTGAGAATAAGCTAAAGAGAATAGACCCTTACTTTTCCAATAGTTTCTTTCAATTGGCGCATGGACATAATCCCTTCAAATACAGAATAATTAATATTAAGTTACAATTAAGTTGTTTAACAAAATTTAATACGATAAGTAACATAATTAGATTAGGTAAAATAAAACAAAACATACATCTTATAAAATAATGAATAACAATCAATTTATTTTGTTTACCATCAGAAAGCCTTGATATACTTACATTATTTCCAATATTTTTTGTTAATCAATGAATTAGACCTGAAAAAAATTCACACCATGAAAAAGTGTAGATAAATAATATTCACATGTTTGTGTTTGTTGTATATATATATATATATATATATATATATATATATATATATATATATATATATATATATATATATATATTGTCTATTTACAATTGAAAAAAAATCAAAATTATATTTTTGAGAGGATGTATACAAATCTTTAATATCATCCTATCTTATATATTTGCGGAGTAGCAAATAAATCTCTTATAAAATTTTATCTAATCATGAAATGGGTTGCTAGATAAGATAAAAATTAAACATTATTGTTTTTTTTTAAAAAAAATATTGATAAAGACTGAACATTATTGTTATTTTTTTTTTTTGAAGAATATTGATTTTTTTGAAAAAAATTGAAGAATATTAGTTAATTATTAAAAATTTATATTTCTTTTAAAAAAACGTTTTCTTAAAAACAAAATGAACACATATTATCCTTTTTCAAATATTTAATTTTAAAGTTTTTGTATATAATAATTGTATAATTTATAGTTTTTTTTTAATTTAAATCCTAATATCAAAAGTTCATCTTTTAAAAAAGATAAATTTTAGTTTTAAAATAATTTAATTTATAAATCATTATTCGTCGTTTTTACCTACATGGAAAAAATTTTAAATTTCATTCGTCACTTTTGCTTATGTGGCGAGTGAACTTTTTATTTCTAAAATAAAATACAAATCTAACTTTTAATTGGTTAAAATAATACCGTGCGATGCACGAATTGTCATACATATATCTCAAGAAAAGATATTTTCCTATATACTCTAAGTTTTTTTTTTTTTTTTATAATTATTTGATTTATTTACAATTTAATAATTTCAGACAAAAAAAGACAAATAATAATTTAATTAAAATGATATTGCCAATTACAAAATTATATTTTTTTAATGTAATTTATAATGCCACTTAATTTATTGTTGTTTTGTATTTTATTCGTTGTTGTTGGTTATATGACAATAATATGATATCTCTAAAAAAAATGTAAATATGATATTTCATTGATTACATATTAGCATAAAATCTTTAATGTGAAAAGATAATAATTTTTTATTTTAAAAATAATTTAAATCCTAAATCATTATACGTAGAACAAAATCAAAAATAAAAATAAAATTATAATAATCAATTTTGAAAAAAATTGTAGAACAAAGTTGACTTTAATTGAGGGAATGCAATCACCCTGTAATTAAAAATAAAAAATTAAGTTAATTTTATGACTTAATTAAGCTACCTAAATCACAAAAAATTTGTTTTAATCATAAAATTAATTGATAAAAACTTAAAGGTTCATTAAAAGTTAATAAATGTAAACGATTTATAAAGATATAATACCTTCTCATCCAATAAGATTATCAAGCGAGAAACTCGTACTTTGATATTCCAAAGATTTTTGCTCGAATTTAATTCTCCGATTAAATTAGATATGCATGTAAAAACAAAATTCAGTATACAAAACATAAACATATAATCATTAAGTACCCCAAATAAACACAATTTAATCAATAATCACAAATATGCATTTAAACATGGGTTTTAAAAATTAGGCTAAGAATTACCCAGTCATTGATGACCTAATAAAACTGACACAAATTAATGACACAAAATTTGCTTGGTTTGGTTTTGTATTGATACGAAATTTTGTTGGTGTGATATGATACATCAATTTATAATGGTAAATAGCACGAATTTTAATTTAATTATAATTAAGGAATAATTTTTATTTTTTTATCATAAACACTATCAAAATTTATCTTATAACAATAGGTATATAAATCCTATATCTAAAGATGAATAGTTTAAAAGATAACTTTTAGTTTTTAAAATAAATTAAATCCTAATAAATCAATATTCGTTGTTTTTACTTACGTGGCAAAACTCTTAAATCTCATTCGTCACTTTTACTTAGGTGGCAAACGAATTTTTTAATTCTAAAATAAAATAGAAATCTGATTTTTAATTGATCGAAATAATGTCTTTGCTTATGTGGCGCGCCGAATGCTTTTAAAAAATGCCAACTTTATATAAAATATTAGATTTGTTCCTTCTCTTTATTTTTTATTATATAAAATATACATGTGATGATATGAGTACATAAATGCTGTATATATATTAATAATTATTGTAAAATAAAGTTTTTTAATCAAAATATTTTTACTTTTATTAATTGTAATAATAAATAAGGAAATTCGAGTTTCTCACGTGTTTTTGAGTCGAGTATTATTTAGCTACTCGACTCGACTCATTAACATTTCAAGTCAAGCTCACTCGAGTCGAGTTTTGACTGAGTTAAGCTCAAATAGCCCGCTAATTGTCTCATCTCAAAGCACCCTTACTAGTAATGTCAATAATTTGGTTGTAAAAAAAAGTGTCAATAATGTACCATATTTGAATTATCTGTCCAAACAAAATGTAAATAAAATGACTAACAATTTTCACATTGGTTATTCAAGTATCCTTTGTATATGGTACCTAGCATTCTATTCGTTTTTTTTAATATTTAAAGCTATATCTCGGCAAATGTATTAACATAATATAATTATTATTAAAAGTGGAATGAATGTTTAATAAACAAATTATCACATATTCCATAGCTAGTATGGGGTGTCATCAGTCATGTGGTCTTTTTGAACATGCATTACATCGGTAATATGTGTCCAGCATAAGATCTCTACATAATATTTGTAATTGGAAAGTAATTTGGATACATAAATTAAGAATAGCCTATTAAATAAAAGGCTACTCTACACAAATGTTATACAGGATTTTTCAATCGAAACATCAAGTGTACGTCATGAGCTCATAACTAATGTCTAATGTTGACAAGTCAAGCTTCAAAAAGTGGTACAAATTTCATTGTCATAATTATGATTGATGGTTAAATTTGTCATCATGATCTAAACCCTTTCTAAAATCTTTTATTAGTAACACTTTAGAGGTTAATTGGGATGGAGTTAATTTTACTAATCAACTGCATATCTACCTGTAAAATTTGATGGTAATGATTCTAATGAATCAATGTTAGAAATCCATGTTTGGTAGGTTAGGAAGGGGTCCATGCATAAAATTTAACCTAATTTTTAGGGGTTAAATTGTTAAATTGATCGAGCCTTAAAGAGAGTATGATTGTATGACCAACAAAAGTTCTAAAAGCAACTTCAATGACAAGTTAATTGTCAAATTAGCTTGGTATGCCATATAAACTTTAAGCTAATTGTTATTCTTGCTACTTTGAGCTCCAATGGTTAGCTATTAGCTTACAATCTAAATAAACCCCACCTCCTTAATTAACTTTTATATATTTCATTTTATTTATTCTAATTTTTTTTATTTTGACAAGTATTTTTTCCCAACAAATTTGCTTGACCAAGCTAATTGCATATTTTAGCTCCAATGGTCAAGTTAGTAGATAGGGATTATTTTAAAACTCGATTTATTAAACTCTAATTACAATTTTATAAGCTTAATTAAATTTTAACCTTTATTTTACCAAGTACGAAAGTTTTACTCTTTAATTTTATTTTAAAAACGCATTGTTTTCGGAAGCTAATTTTTACAAAGGAAAGTAATTTATTTTTTTAAATCTATTTCGGGTCAAATTTTATTTTTATGTTTCGTTAAAAGTCCAGAGATTAGCACACCAAAAATCTGTATTTTAACCGATAGAGTGAAATGACCAAAATGCTCTTGCACACCAAAAGAGATAAAACCCATCTCCTTCTTTTCTTCACGATTAAGTATTGGAGGCCAAGGTTAGTTATGCTTCTTCATTTACCTATTGCTTAATATTTTTGCATGCCCAAACCAATCAACTTGAGTCCAACCACGAGTTCGTTTATCACCTCCTTCACCGTTAAGAACAAAAGTGGATGGACAAATAAAACAAACAAACTTTGCTTCTTTTTATCACCAAGCAAACAAAAACAATTAGATCAGATTGTGTTAATGTTAATCTACTTACACGTCTAATCTTATCACCTCCTCCCTTCTCTTTTACTCCATATTAAGTTTCTAGTAACAAATAATACTTCTAACATATCAAGCTCAAGGACACCACCACCACTCCCCCAATCACGCCACCCTTTCCCTGCCCGAAGCCGCTACTGTCACCTCCCTCACGCACCCAACCAACTCACGCCCTTTTTTTTCTCCTCCATTTATGGCATGTTCTTAAGGATATCCACTACTCCATTTCGTGAAAGTCAAAGTGAGTATTTTACCCTTCTCTAATATAATTTTGAGTATAAGCTTATCTTTTATTTGAGATAAAAACTCTTACTTTCTTTGAAAATGATTATGGATACATTTTGGTGATTAGATATTAGTAGTGTATATAGTAGTACGATGGAAATCTTATTTTGCTTACAATAGCTATAATACCCTTGTTTTTACTGCTACTATGTACTAGTATATTTATTGTAAATAAATATAATTATTCCTTTCTTGTTATTAAAAAGAATAGTAGTAGTAACGTAATACCTATAGTTTTCTAAGTAGTTACATAAGCAGATTATAAAAAAAGGGTAATACCTTATCATTTCTTAAAATGAATTTTTGCTGTTTACTTGCTTATACTCCTACAGTGCTACGAATTTTCAACTAAGATTGCTAGCCTCTTTTGTAAAAGCTTTAATTTAAAATGATTAAATTATTTATATCTATCAATTTCCCTACTAATACTATAATTTAAACTCTTGTTTTATAAAAAGTGGAATCGGAACTCGGAGCTCAGTGAGAACGATAAATTAAAAGCTTATCGGAAGGGTATCAGACTATAAATTGAGATAACGGCTATTGCTAGTACCCGCAATTCCCTTCGAAATATGTTTATGAAAGCATGATGTCACATTGAAAGTTATTTATATCTTTGGATATATTTTTAATGACTTGCGGGATGATAAACATGATTATTGATGTATTTCCGTCACATGATTTTATATGAACGATTTTATGAATATACGATGTTTTATTGATCTTTGGATCTCACGAAAGTATGTTATGATTCTATAGATGACCTATGTAAAAGTTACACAACATGATAAATAACAGTGAAAGACCTAGTCCGTTCGGCACTCGGCAGTATATGTTTACAGGTTACTTTTCGGTCATGCATGTACCCATGGGCATTAGCCCAAATATGTCGAGCACCTGCTCTATGCTATGGGCACCGGCCCATCGCGGAAGACATTCCGCCATGTCATACTTGCCACCGACTAGCATGTTATGAATATATGAAATTTATTAAATGTTTTACGATATTCCATTCTCCCTGTTTTGTTAACTAAAATGAATTGAAATGATGTTACACTATTAGAGTATTACATTACTGTGTCTTCGGTTCACTGTTTTTATGTTTTAGGTACTGCTGGGAATGATGGAGAGGAGTAGTGGCGAGGATTTTTTTTTTCCAGTTACCACTTAGTTGTTTACAGTTTTAAGTTGTTTAATTTGAATAGTAAGACAAAACTACTTTAGTAAGTTTATGTTATGATAGATCTGCTATTATAGAGATCAGAAGAATGTTTGTAATGGATAGATTTCTATGTTTTATAAATAAAGTTTGTTAATTAAGTATGATTGTTGCCTTCTAACTCTCGAGAGGGAGTTACGGCAATGACGTCTCGACCGAATTAGATTAATTCCGCTGCTAAGATTCTCTTAATAACTGAATTAGTGGTCAGGGCTGTTACATTAATATTGCAAATAAGTTTCTAGTTACAACCACTGAAGTTGCTTTAAGTCTCACTAAGCTAGTAAAACTCAATATTATTGAATATTTATTAAAAATCAGACAAATTACAAATAAATTGATCGACCTATTAGCAAGCAAGTACTATTTCTTATATTTTTGTTCAAGGATAGAGATAAAGCTGAAGACACTTGAATTAAATTGCTTTTTAAGATCTAATAGCTTTCGATTAGTTTTGTTGTCATACATGTTTTCCACTAAATTAAATAAAAATTAGTATAGGATCCATATCCCTATATGTGTAATGTTGGATTAAATTGAAATTGGATTATTGTATATAGAGGATCTTGTTGATTATTATTTATTTCATTATAATTTAATTGAGGTAATATATACACATAAAAACAGAAAGAATATCATCCCCATAGTTGTGTAATCTTGGATTAAATGAATAAGATTATTTTGATTGTGATCGTGCACTTTAGGTAATTTTAATTATTGCAATCTTTTTACTGATCACATACATAGTACTATCTTTTCTGATAATACAATTTGCCTTTTATATTCTTCTTCTAATACCCTTGATTTTAAGTAATGCTAGTAGCTATTTTTACTTTTATGCTCCGTATTATCCACAATCCACATGCTCAAATTTGACAGTTAAATGACAAAATTTTACATATAAAAATTTCAATTTACATGTATTGAGCATATAAAGGTTAAAATCACATAAAGCACAACACTAGAATATACAAACTTCAAAATAGATAGACCAAGTGGTAAAATTTACGCATTTCTTTCTGAGGTATTAGAATTTTACATACATTTTAAAGTCTCATTTACAATCCGATGAGAAATGATTATCATATAGTACTCGACTACTCGTATACATTATCAAATCCATATAAAATATCCCTACAATATATGTTTATAATAATTATTTAATTACCGCATTTCAACATATTATTTTTTCTCTCTTGAATTTAATTGTCACGTACCTATACAGAATACAATATCAATATCATACGGAGTATTATTTTGAGTTAAAATAAAGTAAGCCAATTATACAAACATAACTCGCCATAATTCCTATATGCTTTCAATTGTATAAAAAAAAACCTTTTTAAAAGTACATATAAATCCATAAATCAAATAATAATTACGACAAAATTAATAGTAGTATGTAGTATAAATTTTCCTAACATCTAACCATTTGACATAGACAGACCTCCTACAAAATATGAATGAATATTAAAATTAGAGATCATGTCAGGTATACAATTCAACTAGACACACTACACTGATCAGAATTGTTAGGGGTGCTTGAACTCCCGGCAGACGACGACGACGACGTTTTAGCACCACCAGTGGTTGCATTCCCACTGCCGCACTTAGCAACTGTCCTAACACTTTCAATCAATTGTTGAGTTTTGTTATCTTGAGACAAAATTTCAGACAAATGCTCCGGGTTTATAACCAACCTTACCTTCCAAACACCGGAAGCGTTATCATTTCTTGGGACAACATCCGTGTCTGGTTGATTCTTGTACACTACTCTTGTACCTGTATCGACAGACATTCTGTACGGTGTCGATACGTTATAGTTACTTGTGTCGGTCTCTGTCGCGACAGAGGATGGGAGGTTAAGAGGGAGGAGGTAGTAAAGTTGACCAGGGCAGAGGTTGTCGTTGTGTAACATAGGAGGGTTAGAGGAACGGTTCGGATTAAGGAATATTCCGTGGTTCGGAAACTCTGAGGTTATTTGTTCAACTGTAATTGGTGAATACAATTCCATAATTCCTCCTGTTGTTGTAACAACCTTGATCATGGTTGTTTGTCCTGTTGTCTTCGTGGCTTCGGCCTCTTGACGAAGTTGTCGACGGTGGTGATAAACTGGTGTTGAGGTGGTGGTGGTGGTGGTGGTGTAGTAATCTCTGATTGCACACGCGCAGTTTCCCATTTTTTTGGGTGAGAAAAATGTGTATGAAAGTGTTGTAGGATGTAAATGAAAGGAGGAAATGAGAAAGGAGGAGTTAAATACTAAAATGAGTAATTAGCTGGCCGACACAAGAATCCTTTGCTTTGGCAAACAAAATTAAGATCGTATATTAGTGTACTAGTAATATATAATTATAGGTCTTGTCAATTAGCCATTGTGGCCCATAGAGTGATGTTTGGTTTTTGGGCCCACTTCTTTTTCTATGTTGGGTAAATGATAATCTCATATTCTCAGCTAATGCATATAAAATCTTATTAGTAATTTAGATTAGAATTGGGTTATGCTCCAAATGGAAGATATTTCTTGGTCATTAATGCCTTTTTAAGGCTTTTAACGAAGATAGATTTATGGTTAAGTTGGAACGACTTCCTTACGTGTTGATCCAAATATACTATACGGTGTTGAAGTGGTATGGACCCACTTTACTTGGGCTTATTTGGGATCAAATATTTATCAGGCCCCCTCAATCTATCATTCTGATTATTATAATGGGTAATTAATTAGTACAATTATTGTGGGCTGATATCATTCATACAATTGAGACATGGACTACCTATTTCTAGGTACATTCGCTTTTGGTGACTAAAATTGCTACTGTACCATTTATTAGCTGCCCAACAAAGGTCATTCACTCATTCCGCATTCGTGCGGATGTATATTACTGTACAATTATATGTTAGTGGGAGTTTTGCATGACACCTACTTTTTCGTACAAGAACATCTTTAAAGAGGTTTCATCCTTTGCATTTAGACTTGTCTAAGGGTTTTTAATGAAGTTAAAATTAAACTTGTAGAAGAGTTTTTACAAATCATGCAATCCGGTGTATTGAAAATGATACGAAGTACTCCGTATGTCTTATGTTCATAAGGTGTGACGGTCTTGCTCTAATCTCGAAGAGTATGAAACACAAAGCTCCTAACATAGTGCATTTGATTTTTGTGCCTTTTGAGTATTAAGCAAAGGACTTCAGAAATTTCGATCAAATACGAAAACAAGTAACCCTTTTGGCCGGCATTTGTACTTCTTAACAAGAAATAAGATTGAAAAATAGAATGTTGAGGTTGACGGTACAGATGAGTCAAATAAGAAGATATCGGTCAAAAGACACAGATTATTAACGCATGGGTGGTACCAACTACTACGGTACTCCGTATCAGCAATCAGCATGAAAACATTGGTACAAAATTGACTAAACATCTCTAAAACGCTGAAAAAGCTACTAAAAAGGCCTTTTCCAGACTCCGTATATATGTTTTGTGAGAATGATCAGGGTCAGCAATCGCTATCATCTTTGAAGTTTCCAACTCGTGCGAAGTGTCAGTGTGGATCCCATTTTGCCGCGTCCAAAATAAAAAGCTCCTGTATAATGTTATATGCTCTCATCCAACGTCTTCTTAAACTGAAAATGATGTATGATAGATACATCTCTAACTATAGACTTCGAACTCATATTCAATTAACGACGTACTAAGTATCAACGACGCTTCCAATTTGAATAAATCGAGAGGGTATTTTGGAAGAAAAGGTGCAAGTGTAATGACTTCTTTTAACTTCCTACTCTACAACTGTACGCTGTGTGCAATTTCCATATTCTCGGGCAAGAGTTACACCTTTATAAGAGAGAAGTAGGAACATAAAGCCGAGTTCCAGTCTCTAAACACTACGGTTTCACACACAAGACTTGTGACAAAACAACAGAGATCCAATGTTTACTCTTAAAACTAATAATAAGAAAAGGTTTATGTGAGGATAGGTAAGGTCAATGATTGATACTCCATAGTATTATAATCAGCACTAAGACTACTATGGAACATGAAAGTGGCCAAAGACTAAATTGTCTGGCAAAGTGTTGGCATCTGAATCTGAACAGATCTATCGAAAACAAATAATGTTTAGAGAAATCAAAAAGGGATGGGAAGATGGGTGGCCAAGAGAGACTAGCAGGAGTATGCATCAGTCCACACTTGTATCATAAAGTGTGAGAATAAAACTGCAAAAGACAAGATGACCTCTTAGCACAAAAACAGGGCATTAACAGCAACAGATAAGATGGCCTCTTAAGCACCATCATATTCTTACATGAACCAGCAGGGCATGAACTATAGCACAAGGAAACCTCTATACCGGGAAATCAGGGGATCTAAGATACACAGTCTAATTATTCTCACACATAATCATCAGCAAACAGAAGAAAAAACATGTATCGATGCTGTAACAAGAGAATTCGAATTTTTAACTAGCCTGATCTACTATAAAGTTTGGTTATGAAGTTTTATCCGACTGAGTTATGTTCTAGGAACGTAAAACTTACGAGCATTGCCATGTTTGCCCATTGCAAGCAAAGGGAACAAAAATCATCAGGTTACTAACTGGTCACTAAATTGAAATTATGATAAAATGCTTAGTTAGTAAAGAGCTTCAAACCTTCACTGCTGGCATCTTCAGCTCAGAAAAATTTCTCATTATGGAATTTCAATGTAGTACTCCAAAAAGAGAAGAATATCTTTATTTATACAGGAAACATCCCAATTACTTTATAAAATACAAAATTCAACATTCTAATTTATACACCGGATATCGAGCCGAGCCGAGCCAAGCCAAGCTGAGGATCAATAGCAATAAAAAGCAGGGGATGGATGTGAAGGTAGATTCCCAACTTCAAGAAACTAATTATGAGAAACAAGCAAATTTGTAACAGACCCTCTAGGACCTTGTCTTTGATGAAATGGCAGTCTAACCTCAATAAGTTTGGTGTGTTCATGAAGGGCAGTATGAACCAACTCAAATACTGTGCACACCAATGATATATATATCCTGAAAAAGGGAATTCCTCAAGTGAACCCATTTAGCTGCACAAGTTTGGGTATGTTACTAAAATTCAACAATACTCGTAGGTATGAACACTTGCCACTTCCTTCCTTCTCTAAAATGAAGGTTTTTCCGTAAACCAGCCAAGTGTAATACTTGGAATCTTGGAGATGTACCCATGGTTGTCACGAGTGCCCCATTTCGGGTGACATAGGTTGGGGATGGTACCTTAGGAGTCAAAATCGCAACCAACAAGATTATAAGGGAATGTTATGTTGCTTACAAGATGTAATACTTTATTGGAATTTTTGCCCAACTCCTACAGAACAAAAGGAATTAGGCTTGAAACTCACAAGCATTGACTAATTTCCAATTACGTGACTCATGGGTCAGATAGATAAGTCATGATGTGCACTCTTCTGTAAATCATGCAGCCCACACCTAGAATAAAAGAACAACACAAAGGATAACAAGAATGGTAGTTTGCAATTTGACGTCGCCATGATTCTTCTTAATACTCCCTCTGTTTTTATTTAAGTGCCCCAATTTGACCAACACACTTGCCAATATACAACTTTGACTAATGATATTTTTAATTATCAATAAGTACAAATTATAAAAAGTTAATATTTGGAAACTATGCTTTGAGACAATTTATAAAGCACAAGCATTGGTCAAAGCGGTGCATGTAATAGTGCCAAAGTCAAGCTTGGGCACTTAAATAAAAACGGAGGGTGTAATAAAGAGAAACCACATGTTTGCTCCAAGAAGCATCAAGGCACCAATTCATGTAAACCACCTCAAATAACAACAGTCATGCTAGGTATGTGTATGCCAGATGAAAGAGGAAGATCTATTGGAAATTAAAGGAATCCGGACTCTCTAATAAAGTTTGACAAACCAATAGTGTTTGAGTTACTACACTCAGGCAAATACTGTTGCACCACGGTGTTTCCATGGCATTTCAAGAGTAACCAAAATTCATCAACAAGCTGGAGAGCTTAGTAAGCACTCAGTTAATACACTGGGTACTGAATTACCAAGCAGAAAAGTTTGAGCTGGCAGTAAATGTATACTTTGTACATTTCATGTTCTATAGACAACAAGATACCCATTTTAAATCCATCAAGAACACCAATTGGAGGCTTGTTTGATTAAGTGAAACTCCTGAATCTGAATTTATATGCAATTATTATCTACAAGTCCAAGAAACATAGCTCCAACAATCCACACTAACTTGTCCCAGCCTTCATCCTCCAAATGACAAAAAAGACCCCAATGTTTGAGGATTTGAATCTGATGCTAACATTTAAAAATAATTACTGTGCCCATTATTTTAGGTGCATGAACTACGGCACATTCCTAAATGTACAATTGTACATATGTGGATGAAGATGTGGCTTCAAAAATGCTGGATTTCCATATTGCCCACAATATTCACACCCGTCTTAGCTCTAATATACAGTCAGTATAAATCATCCAAACATTCTAGACATTATCAAGCGAACCAATTAAACGACCCTAATACCATGCGACTGGACCATATCTTTCCTTGTACGAGTATATTCAAATAGACCATCTCAACTGCTACCTTAGTCCATATAATAATCATCAAAGAACAACCTTTTATGCACATACAAGGGATCATATCAGTATCAGTCTATCAAAACTATGAGTCTAGAGCCTAGGATACAAGATGAAATGATTTCGCAAGCATGGGACAAACACACTTCCAATTAGCCTTACACGGTATATATACCATAAATAGGACAGAAAACAACATGCCACTACAACTTACTAAGTATTTGTATTTGTCAACCAATTTTTTTTTCTTTAGCTAATCCCAAGTTCATTTCCTCAGTTACAACTACGAGCACTTTCAAATAATATGACAACAATTGGCGAGGTAAGAAATCCAACAGAGAGCACACAAAATTCGAAATGCCCATTCATACATTGAAATATAACATCCAACAAAGAATCATAAAACTTCAATTGCTTATTTATGCAATGCAACATGTAACATTTTTCAACTCAATTTATGATGACAACAAAAAAAATCACCATTTTCATATCATCATAAAAAAATAACAATAACGATAATAATTCTACAATGATTAACACTTACAAAATTAAAATCATTCCAAAACGACAGTAGCACCTAGCGCCTTCAACTTCTCAATAATAGCTTCACCTTCTTCTTTAGTAACCCCTTTCTTCACAAATGCAGGTGTTTTCTCAACCAAATCTTTTGCTTCCTTCAACCCCAATTCTGTAAAACTTCTCACCTCTTTAATCACCTTTAACTTCGCCCCTGCATCAAACTTCTCCAATTTCACATCGAACATAGTCTTCTCCTTGGTCTCAGCCTCTGCACTGGGCTGGGCTGACCCAGGTGAGCTTGGCCCAGCTGAAAGTCCAGCTAACCCAGCATTCTTAAGGCCCATCTTCATCCCAAATAGGATAGAGTAGTCGTGAAGTTCAACAGGATTGAGGGAAAGCATCTCATTTGCGATTCGATCTAGTTTCTGGGGTTTAGATTCAGTTGATGTAGAAAGAGAGTGGGATGAGAGAGAAATTGATGGAATGAAGCGTTTTACAAGGTATTTTGATGGGATTCTATTGATTACTGAACGCATTTTTCTTCTTTTGAGCTCTGAAGATGGAAGATAGAGAAATTGATTTCTGGGTTTGATTTGATTTGGTTAGGGTTTATTACAGTGGAAAAATGAAAACAATTGAAGATTGAAGAAGACGGAAAAGGGTGGGTTTTTCGAATGGACAATAAAGCCCACACAATCAAAGGCCAATCTTTGGATTTGTAAAGAGCCCAGGGTCTATGATTTTTTATTACTAAAAAAATCTTTCATCATTTTGACTTTCTACACTATGTTTAGACAATATATTTGACCAAAATTTATTAATACCAGTATATGTTTATAAAACAGTAAAAATTAAAAAATATTGGGTTGTTGTAATCTTCTTGTCAATGTCAAGAAAAAACACCGAACGATTTAACATTAATTTCTTTTTTGTAAGTTGAATAGTACTATATATTTCCTCCGTTCTTTTAATATTGCACCACTTTTTTTAAAAAAAAATTCACAAATATTGAACCATTTCAAATTTAGGACAAAAAAAACCCTGTTCACACTACAAATACCCAACATACCCTTACTTTTTTATACTTATTCTTTAATTTATGTTTATATCACACGGGCAATTTTGTATTTTTATCTTTTTCTCTCTTCCTTTTTCCACTACCAATATTATCGTGCCCAACTTATAAAGTGCAATTTTATTTTATTTTTTTTAAAAAAAACACGGAGGAAGTAATTAAGGATATTGATGGTTCAAATTAGGATATAAGTGATGTAAAATCTCAAATTGATTTATCCATTGAGAAACTGACAGAGTAATTATTATTAGTTCGGATATTACTTCAAGCATAGCTCAGGTTGATGTTACACTTTGTATTAACTAGTTAAGCTCATGAAATAAAGTAGAGATTATAGAGTTAGGTTATGCCAACTTCTTATGGATGATATTAAAGATCTTTTCCGGCACTTTGGTTTGATTTCCTCCCGTCTTATATATCGAGAAGTCGATTTTATTTCCTCCCATCTTATATATCGAGAAGCCAATTCCCGTCTTATATATCGAGAAGCCAATTTTATTTCCTCCCGTCTTATATGCAATAAGTCAATCGTATAACAAATTATGTTACATCCCTTTGCCCATAAATTATAGAGCTACAAAGAAATAGATTCATTTTTGATTGGCCCAAAAATTATGGCAATTCGTCAGGCAAATATTTGTCTGCTAAATGGACTAATGTAGGGCTTTATGGCTCCACATAGCGGGCCGCTTGTGCCCCTCATCCATTCGTATAACCCATTGAAATAAATCACCCATCCCCTATTTTTGAGATGCTATAAATATTAATAGTAGAGTAGTGTCTATCAGATTATATATAATTTTTTTTTGAAAGAACAAATTATATATTTTTGTTAAAGTGAAATTATTTTTGTTGAAATAAAATTATTTTTACTGATTAAAATTTATTTTTATTGATTCTCTATTATAATTGTTTTTTAAAACTACTGATTTTTATCAAGCTAAAATTAATTTTACAAAATTAAACATATTTTTACTGAATTGAAATCATTTTTAGTGAATACGGAGTATTATTTTAAAAGTGAAGACATTAGGGCCTTAGTAGATTACAAATAACCATTGATCAATGAAACTACTTCCCTCCAATTTCCTTTGTCAGTATCATCAAAAAAATATTAAAGGAGAATTTTTAACCAAAAATAAATAACAAAAAGGATAGTCACGTGAAATATTGTACTGTTTATGCTCAAACATGTACAGATTAAAAATGAGACCTACAAAAAAAATCGAAAGAAAGAGTTTCGTATGGAAATAGAAAATAAAAGTGTGAAAAATCATTATTTCAGTACTTTTAATTCAAAATTCTTATTTATTTAAGAAAAAAATTCAAAAATCATTATCCTTGTTTGACCCCCCATTCACTGGAATGCATGCCTGGTAACGTAAGCAGAGAGGACAACGTTTTTTTTTTTTTTTTGAAATGTTAAGTATTTAATTATATAAAAAAAAGGTTTAATTTAAGAATTTGAATTGACTGAAAGTAAAATTATAATGGAGCATATGGAATTCCTCTAATTCGGTTTTATTACCGAGGGTACAGCTTTAATAAATAAATAAAAAATAAAGGGAATTATGAAACACGCCTTCCTGATTGGCTTAAGAAGTACATGATGCATGGTTACACAATGCATGGTTGAATTCATTAAAGCCACGAAATTTCCACTTCCTTCAATTGCTTCCCTTCCCCACCTCCTTCCCTCTCCACGACGACTCCACACACTCACTTACTCTTAAAGCAATCCATGTATATAACAATATAAGTATATATTTCCAAAATTGAACATTTGGAGCAATTGATCATACATATATATTGTTACCACATCATTAATCCCGGTCACTTGCATCATTTCACAAATGTACCACGTAAAATATAATATAATGGGTACGCATATTTTCTATAAGTTATCCGTCCCCTTGCTTGTAAATAGAGTAGTATCTTATACCCTAATTGACCATAATTATCTAGATATTAATCTGATAATGTATCTTATGTTAAAACGTTAGGGGGTCGAGCCAATATGGTCCTAATAGGCTATATATGTTAGAAATATAATATATAATATGTGAGTTGATACCAATTGTCTCGCATTAAAATGTAATAAAACATATCGAAGGTGGAGGAATAAGAAGGAAAGAGATGGTGAAAAGAGGGGAGAAATGATCGAGGTTGTTTAATAGGGAGAGTGAGATCGCAATAAGGGAATAATAAGGCGAAACCTACATGAATAATGAGAAAGAAGGGCACTAGGAAAAGAGGCACTAACTCGTTAGCAATAGAAGGAAAATGGGGCAGCGAAACTGGCAAAGTGCATGTGCAAAGGCAACTGACGTATCTGTCGTGTTTGGCTTTGTTGCCTCCTATCCTTCTTCCTTCCATTGTCACTCGATCTATAAGTGTGGGGGCGTGCTCTGCCTTTGCCTTCCTCTTTCCCTTTTTTATTTCTCCTTCTCACCTTTGCAGTCTTGCATGTGCATCATTACTTCTCTCTCAGCTCCATCAACCATTATATATCTTCCTAAACTATTCTATAATACCAACTGCAATACATACATACGTGTTTATGTGCAACCGGTTACATCTATATTTATCTACACGACTAGTGCTCTTCTAGCTATGTTGAGACTTCAGAAGTGATTTGTCATATAATCATTGAAGGGAGCTTCATATTAATGCGTGCAGTTTGTTGCATTATTCTTTATTCATTCAATTATACTTCATCTTAATTTCGAAAGCACCTATAATCAAATTTGTTATATATGTTGCGTGTGTAAGTTTATTGCTAAAAAATATATGCAAATACGAAGTATAATGTAAATTACGTAATCAACAGCATGTTTTTAAATCATTTAGCTATTAGGGTAAATGTTAAATACTAATAACATTTTATTACGAAATTAAAACATAAAGTTGGGATGAGATTGCATTAATATAAATTGTAAGATGCATGATGTACCATTTATCTATTAACTTATACTAAAAAAATTACGGGATTTCAACCTAGTGTATTGTTTACAAACTTACCTACACCAAAATTCATTCTCATTGCCATCATTTTATTATCATATATATATCCCAACCTCATTACACACTAGCTATCATGGTGATAAACAGGTTTGGGCCACACCCGTCACAAAGTCTAAGGAGGTTCCACCTCAAAACCATATGACAATGAGGGGAGTAGCCTTTTAGCGTTATAAAGTGGGCACAACTTTCTTATTTCTTCAATGTGGGATACACTTTTCAACACTTTCATACTCTTTCGATGTGGGACGACACTTTCACTCACATGTGGGTTTGCTCATGGGCTCAACACATGGTCATTTCAAGTTTGTAACAAATTTAAAAAATGTTTTCACTCTTTTCTTCTTGAGTATTTAATTTTTTTATAAGAAAGTGTTAGAGTGTGAGAGTGAAGATACTGATCTTGCGCACACTGCTACCTAACTGACTATAACCATAATCTTTAACAGAACAACCGATTTCCACTGTCAAAACACATAGAATTAACTAATTAAATGCATTTACTTATTAGTAATTACTGTACTAAACTCTTGTATGATTTGTATTTCTTATGTTCCAAGTACGGACTATAACTGATGAATCCTTTATTTTATACTAACTTTTCAGTATTAAAAACCAATAATAATGCCTTTTTATGAATGCATGCGCATCCATCTAAAGATATCAAATAACGTCTTAAAAAGTAAATCATGAAAAGATGAGCATAATACGAAATATAGTCGTACATTAAACTGCACTAATCAACATTATTGAACTTTAAAGGCATGACAATGAACCTCAAAGAGTTCAACCCAGTTCGAATATTGAACTTTTTCCCGATCAAGAATCAACGGAATTGCATTCTTGATATTGTTGACAGAGAGAGCCGGGTGGTACTCTGTCGATGGTGGAGGTGGTGGTGGAGGAGTGGGCTGGTCGTCATCCTTTGCCATGGAGAAACGCTGCTACTGGCTTTGCTAGAAGAACTCGGCTATGAATTGCAACGCACTACCAAAAAGTATACCGAAGGCAATTTACTAAAGTCAACAAATAAAAAAAAAAAAAAAAAAAACTAATTAAAGTAACAATGTCAGTGTTTGCAATCGGTGAGAGAAAGTATAATGTGACAAAGCTACAATGAATATGAGAATTAATTATAGCTAAAAGTCAAAAAATAATTTGCGGAATCTAAGATCGAAACCTAAAGCTATGATACCATGTTAGATTTTGGGAAAACTCCTTAAATTGAAGTGTGTACCATTAATCAATATATATAGAATTTTACAAGACTCATAATCCTAGTATGATAAGGATACAAAATATATACAAAATATATCCTAATCTACGATAAATATTATCATAACTATAATACCTATCAGTTATCATATTGTCAGGAATTAGTACTAACAATAAACATTGAGAAATGAAAATTTCAAGTAGTTGCTTGGTTTGCTAATTAATAATAATGCCCCCCAAATACATTTGTTCGTATGTCTGACCATCATGCAATCAATAAAAGGTGATCTTAAGTTATGTCACCTCGGACACAAATAATTTAACTAATCTAAATATTAATAAATTAATTAAGGGTATGTGCTTATGTGAAACACTAAT